GGGGGGGGGGGGGTAACAGCCTTTTGGGTTTGTGGCGTGGGTCAAAATCTACGTTTAAGGGGATTTGAGTGTAACATAGGCCTAACATAGTTAATGGAACTGTTTTCTTTTCATACACATCGGGTGACAATCTCTGTACATATAGCCATCACCTGCGTCTGTCGTCGGCGTCGCCATGCACTTTCAGAGATAACATGATAAGTGGAAAACTGTTTGACCTATTGTCTTCAAACTTACAGAACTCTTGAATATTCATAAAATACAGATCAAGGCTGAAAATAAGCTTGATCGGTCCAATTTTTTCAAATTTTTTCACCACATATGCAATATAGATAACACATTTCGAGGAAAACTGTTTGGTCTATTGTGTGGAGGCGGGGTGACCATCTGGGGATTAAACGACGCTGCTTTTAAGTGGAGTCGGCCATGTTTAGTCGGCGGATCAGTTAGTCCGCGGATCATCTGTTCTGAATGCGCTCCAAGTCACACTAATTTCATTGATCCTACTTCCTGAACTATTTCATTCATTATTATAAAAAGTAGGCTATTCCATCGAACATGCAGGTTTCTCGCCAGAAGGATGCCATGCCTCTAATAAAATCACACTAATAACAAGTTAACCAGCAACTTGATTCTGAAAGATTTTTTTCAAGATTTATTAAATATTCACTGCTCGATGTAATTTTTAGCTGAATTTCACTAGGCCTACCGAACAAAATGCTAGGGCAAGTGACATGGCAGAATGGGGGGGTTGTGGGCAGATAGCAAAATTAACCAGAAAGGCCCTTCTATAAAATGGGTCCTCTTTTGCGTAGTTAATGTTCTTTTGCAGTTGGTGAAAGTTTGTTTTGCTTCGCTTTTGTTGTCTCCTCGGGGTGAACTACTTGATATAGGGCTATGATAATAAAACTTCCTAGGATGAAGGCACCAACAATTATTGCAGCCAAGTCCAGCACTGTAAGGTCCGTGCCTGCCACTAATGGATACACTGGAGGAAGAAAGTAATGTAAATAAAAAACATAGACTCAGATAGTGACATCAAATAATAAGTAGTCAAGTTAAATGTGACTATTTGAATAAATACAAAAAGTTTAAAATGTTTTTCTATCTAATTAAACGATTGATGCCCATACTAAAATTACAAAACGAATTCAGATACTGTGAAATTCTTTTTTTTTTCAAAGTATGACATGATGTTTTCTAAACAGATTGAATTCTCTGGATCAGCGTTACTGAAATTTTAGATCTAGAATGAAGTTACAGATTGTCCTTTTAATTGTGTATAAGTAACTTACGAGTTGCCGCCTGAGTTGTTGTTGTTGTTGTTGTAATATTATTAGTAATGTTGTTATTCCCTTCAGTGGTTTGCACTAAAAGAAAAAAATATGTTAAAGTAATCGTAACAAGTACGCAAGCTCATTATTATTGATAATTGTACCTTGCAGCACTGTAAAATAAATTTAAAGTCACCTACATATTCTCATAAACAAGCTTATCTATCTTTAAGAGAACAGCTACAATCATACAAAAGTGGGCATACGGCTCTAGTGAACTCTGGAGATGAAAATAATATAGATTCTCAAACTAGTATTTATCATACGGTTTTCCACTGAATTAAACAAAATTTTGTTTCAAAATATAGTGTGTATCGCTAACTTTGCACGATGGCTTAATCAAATTTTATTTATTATTTTAGAATGTATATAGAATAAGACGAAAAATCATCGAAACCGTGAGATGCAAAAAAACAAAGAAAAGAAAATAAAAAATTAATAAAGCCATCGCGTTATATCCGGGCTATAAAAAGATATAAGTGGGATGATGTCGTATAAAATGCGACAAGAACCTGTCATAAGAGTATTATATGTTAACAACTCGCGATCGGGAAAGTAACCTTTAATGCAATGTCACATATAATTTATCACGTCCTGGCGGACACCTTTAGTATTATATTGCAAAATAGAAATATATATATATTTTTTAAATATAGTATCTTAATAGCATTAGTATTTGCTTCTGAGGTCGATGTTTTTATGGTCTTATATACCATATTATAAAATCGCTCTTCGTTTAATCTACTTTTCGAGATTGACGCAGCTAGGAAACGGGAGCAGAAACAATCAACATTCACCACTTATTAGCCTAGATAACATGAAACTAAACTCTTAACACTGTGGAATTTTTCTAGATAGTAAACTATCCTTTACTGTGTAACAGTTACTTACCTTCCAAAAAAGTGATAATAATATAGAAAAATGCTACAAAAAATATAAAACTTGAGGATGTCTCGTTTACAGCCATTTCAGAGCTTCAATCAGTCCCAATGGGAGGTCAGTGGTCTCTCTTCTCCATCTTTTCATAGATACAGTACGCATATGTTTCAACGACAAATCGGCACAGTAAATTAGAGATTGTAAAACCAGGAAATTGACTGTGCTTGTTTAAACATACATTGTTCCGGCTGGTAGTGGCTATTTCACGTGTACCTTTGTTGCTGGTTCTATTATGTAGTTCTCTGCTGTGTGTTCTGTAGCGTTATGTCTACGCCACCGGCCAACACGTTACCCAGCGACTCACAGCATACTAAAACATCATGTCAACAGATAAGACGTTGTCAGTAAGGCTGACGCGATCAAATAAATTAATCAGTTGTGCTCAATTGCAGTGCAATATATCCCTCGGGTCTATTTAGTTAGCTCGCGCAGACGTTTAGATAGCGTGCTTGGAAGGTTTTTTCTGTTGTCAAACAAAATGTGAGTCAAAGAATATTATAGAAATATTGATTTTTGTCACAAATTAGTAGCTGTTCTATTGTTAAAATGAGTGGCCTGTAGCAAGCATCCGATGTAGACAAATCCGCCTCTTCTCTTCCTTCTCTTCTACATGTTTACCTAAGGAATCTGTGAATAATTAATTCCACAGGACATTAGCGCAAACACAGTTCTCACTTTTACGATGTCAAGGTCGATTAAATGAGCATCCCGGAGAGCTATCCTCTGCAAGCCAACGCAAAAGTAAAGTGATGTGTACTCTGTTTGAAAGACTAACTAGCTGATAAGCTAAGAAAAATCAGTCCAAGGTAAAATGTGAACAACAAAGAAGTTTCGATTTAGTTATTTTCCGTTGGGATTTTTTCTGTGTCCAGGAAAACGCTTGAAAATACTGAGTATCAAAAGTGGCAATGTAGTTTATGAAAATATGTATCAAACACAACATACTGGAACGTACTGGTAGTAGTGAAATTAACAATTGACGGGATCCCGTTTTCAGAAACTGACGCAAAAATGACGTTACTGTTATTTCTCTTGCGTCCGAAGCAATTCACTTTTGGCCTACTATCACTTTGTTATATATTTATCAAGTACCTGACTAAAAAACTGGCTTTAAGATATACATTAGTAAAAGCACCTTTTTCGATTATATGCGTTTCTTGCAGTTCCACTTTGGATAAAACCCATTTTAGGTCACCTGAACGTAGGCCTACCTATTTCATTATTTCACGATAATACTTTTGGAAAAATCTACATGTATCTTTAGAGATGAGGGGTATGATTATATTTCAAGACAACAGAATTTCCGTGTGTGTTCGGTTTAATAGCTACAAAGCGCGAAATTCAGTTGGGCAAAGATTTTAGCTCAGCTGCTGTGGTGTATATACTGTTTTAAGGCCATGAAGACACTGATGAAGACAAACGCAGCTTGTTGATAATTGTTGATGACTAAAGGCCACGAGGAATTGTGTCGACAATTAACAGTACTAGGGTCTTTTTTACTAAGGTCAAATGGAAATAAGTACAGATCATCGGCAATCATGTTAGTGAAATTTGTGCTTTTAAGATTTTTTTTTTTCGTTTGGTGATCTTTTTCATCTACCTTTTTCAATTGAAAGCGATTGGCTTTTTAGAAACAATGCAGTCGCATAAACATGCTTCGCAGAAGAGAGAGAACATGACCATCTACTCACTGCACGTGTCTGATGATTATACCGAGAAAATTATTCGTGGTTACGCCTCACCTAGGAATCATTGCAGCGAAACCGTATCTTCCGGCAGAAGTGGGAAGATGACGCGCTTTCCGACGTAAGAGACGACCCCACAAAATGCACTGGCGGTCAAACTTCAGTTGAGAACATATAACATACACAACCCAGTCTAACTGAGCAAAATGTCAGCTTTAAGTGGTCTGAATAACTTGTTCTCATTCACCAATCCTTTCACCAAGCGACTGTTAGGATGGAGACAGGGAGACGAAGAGGAAAAATGGGCCGAAGAGGCTATTTTGTGGCTCGTTAAGAAACTGAAAAAGAAAAGCGGTGCCTTAGAGGAACTGGAAAAGGCATTAAGCTGCACTGGCACACGAACGGGATGCGTTACCATTCCACGTTCTTTAGATGGACGTATTCAGATTCACCATCGCAAGGGTTTGCCCCATGTATTTTACTGCCGGGTATGGAGATGGCCTGATCTCCGAAGTCACCACGAGTTGAAGGCTCAGGAATTCTGTGAATTCCCCTTTAGTGCCAAGAAAGGTGAAGTCTGTGTCAATCCTTATCACTACAGCCGAGTGGAATCTCCAGGTAAAAGTCTCCTAGCTCGTCCCATTATACATACATTATGCCTCATGAAATACTTCCTTACTTGTAATATGCATGCTTTGTTCTAATTTCATTTATCCCGTGTATTGGTGGTTTTACTTCAACCTATCAGATCGAAACATTCTTGTTAATGCGGTTAATTAACCTGTCCGGTTTTCTAAAGTATGTATTTACAATTGAAATATTACATATCGATTTTATATGCACAGCCTAATAGATATTTAACCAAAAGTAAATTACTGTCATTAAGGAGGGTTATTAATATACTCAACAATTACTACTAAATAGGCGCAGCAAAGGGCAAGCAAATACAGACTTGTTAACCAAAATAGTAAGAGGGATCCTTACAGCCCCAGAATATCAACCTTCTCAATAACCTTTACGTTTTGTTTTCATTTTAAACCACGGCAGTGTATTTATCTATAATACAAAATTGTATTTTTTATATGACGCAGATGCAAAAAGTGAATGATTATCCTGTAATTATTTTGACTATCTAGCTAATGTGCCAGCTGCACAGTAATGTATGCTTTACAATGAGAGAAAATGTCAAATATTACTCACTCGAAGAGAAGGGTAATAATTTCAAGATTTATTACACTTAAATAGCCATTGTGTAAATTTTATTGATAAGGCTAATGCCCTAATGGCTGTGAAAAGTAACAAACGGACATATGGTAGAGAGGTAAACCAGGTAGAATGTGAGAGAAAAAAAGGTAAAAACGACTTTTTGGCATATATGATAATTCCCAATTTCTGATAAATTCAAATTGTACAATCACGCTCTCCCTATAGTTATTTCATTATTATTATTTTAGTTTATTATGCTGTTTTGTATAGCTTATCATATTTAAATGTGACCATTTGCCATTTACTTTTTTTTTAATCACCGGATAGTTTCTTTCATGCTAAAGTTGAAATCTGGCCTTCCTTTAAGATCTTGAGCTTGTTAAATGCGAAAATGGTGCGTGTCATTACACCATGATTAATCGCGCGGTTGAATTATTGTCTTAGAATTGTAGAGAAGTGGTGAATAACAACAAATACGGTCATCACTTGGAGATGGGCAGTAAATAATCTTTTGGAATATCTTCAAGTTAGTTTTTTTTTTTTTTTAATTTCAAAGGCTTGGTTATTAACATAGTCTTAAATTAAAAATTCTGCCATTTTTGTTTAACATAAAGCAATATTCAATTCATCTGTAGTAACGTTGCACCAGGGCTTTTATCCCAGTATTCTGTAACAGTTTAACTGCATGTGCACACAACTGACACAATATCCGACTGGTGAGGACAGCATCAGTTCTCTCCGGGAAACCGCTGCAGATTGTGCTCTAAGAATCTTGGTCACGCGGACATAGACCATTAGTCAAAGTGGCATACACGAACAAACTTCAACCGGTCAATTTTACCCCTCTACATGTACCATCTGTTTTGTTGGAGTATTCCATTAAAGGCTGTGATATTTTCCCGATTCTATTTCCCAGTACTTCCTCCGGTGATGGTCCCCCGTTACACGCCAGAGTTTCCATCGCCCTGCACACTGGCCCCCTTTCAACTGAGACCCGACCCACGCATGCCATGCAATGTCAACTACCCGGACGCATTCCAAACTTCTTTCCCCTCTAGATCTGACCAGTTCTCGAATCAGGGCAGTCAGCACAGTATACCAAGTAAGTGTTTATTTTTTTAATGGGACAATTATAGAGAATTTAAGAAAAATGATAAAATTATTTTTATCTTAGCTCTGCAGTAATGATATATGGAGAGTAATACATCCCAATATAGCTTTTAACTGAAAGAACTGCCCTAAATCAAATTTTATCAAATAACACAAATAATGGAATTACACCCTTGCTGGTTTATATCATACATTTATATTTTCATCAAATCATAGACAGCACCCCTCCCCCGGCTTATCAGGAATCTGCAGGATATACTATCCAATACCGGCCCCAGGAACTCTCATGTTTGATGGATATGTCTGATGACAGTAGTCAAGGTAATGCATAATAGATAATAGTTTGGTTGCTAAGATATGCTTGTGTCTACACTATAGAGTGCAAATAGTGGACGGGGGGGGGGCGTGTACGGTGTATCCCTTGGCGTCCAGTGTTTTCCACTGTGGCAGTTTACCAACATTAACTACCGTTGTTTTTTCTTTCAGATGTTCAAGCCGTTTCCTACCAAGAGCCATCAGATTCATGGTGTAAAATCGTGTATTTTGAACTAAATAGCCGAGTAGGAGAATCATTTCACGCTTCAAACATGCACGTATACGTGGATGGTTTTACGGATCCTAACAGCAATAGCAATAGGTTCTGCCTGGGTTTGCTATCCAATATAAATAGAAATTCCACAATTGAGAATACAAGGAAACACATTGGAAAAGGTAAAACTTTTTGACCGAAAGTAGTCGACTATTTACTCACTTTGGCAGGAAATGCAAGGTTCCTCGCTGTGTATTGAATATCTAAAGCAATTGTCTTAAACGTTTGGCATTGTCATTTGAATGATCATATGCTAATGCAATCATGGTTTTTGTCAATGTTTTTTGTCAGGTCTTCATCTGTACTACATCGGCGGGGAGGTGTTTGCAGAGTGTTTGAGCAACAGCAGTATTTTTGTACAGAGTCGACAATGCAACTACCGCCACAACTTCCATGCCACCACTGTTTGCAAAATTCCGCCGGGTTGCACCTTGAAGATCTTTAACAACCAAGAATTTGCCGAAATGTTGAACCAGGCAGTCCACCATGGATTCGAAGCAGTGTACGAATTGACCAAAATGTGCACGATAAGGCTGAGCTTTGTGAAAGGATGGGGTGCCGAATATCATCGTCAAGATGTAACAAGCACCCCTTGCTGGATAGAGATTCACCTGAACGGACCGCTGCAGTGGCTTGACAGGGTGCTGTCTCAAATGGGATCACCCGACCTCTTGATTTCATCTGTGTCATAGCGTGATTTTATAGATGCTATTTTTCGAAGGGCTCAAGCCAAACTGGTCTGATCCCCCTTTTTCCGTTAATAAAGCAAATCTATGTTTGAGTAAAGTGCAACGCATAAACATATTGCTTTATTGGCGTTTTAAATTGATAACAGCTTCGCACCATGCCTGGGTACACTCAAACTGAAAACTGTAGAAGATATTTCTGAGTTAGTTACTGTGTTTATTCTTCTTGTCATGTTTCATTAGGTTAACAGAAAAAAAATTTATGGGTAACTGCCATTCCACAATAAAAGTTTGTAAAAGAAAAATGACGCAAGGGCATATTATTCAGCATATATGGGTTTTAGCTCTTGGTGGGGTAGTGGAGCTCCGAATATCTATTTTTCACAACAATTAGAACTATATATATATATATATATATATATATATATATATATATATATATATATATATATATATATATTTTTTTTTTTTTTTTTTTTTTTTTTTTGGATAAGAGAGAAGTAAAATCATTATATTTATCAACTTTTTTGATGTAAGCATAATAGAGTACTGTTAGAAGTAGCTTGGACAGCGAACAATGTTAAAATGTAACATTTTAAAAGCTGAATAAATTATTATTATTATAATAATTATATTTGGCATCGTTTTTATTGTCAATTTCCTCTTAAAATAAACAGATAAACAAACACAAAAACAAACAAATAAATAAATAAATAGATAAATAAATTAATTAATTAATAAATGAGAGACTCAAATATCCAAGCATTTCACAAAAGTCTCCGTTACTCCTGAAGGTGATCTTGTTTTCAGAAAAGATTTTATTTTATTTTATTTATTTATTTTTCTTTTTTTTTCACATGCCATACACAGCTGAAAATACAGCGGTTTTATCTGGTATCGATATTTTGGATATACATGTTTATTTACCGGGAGCATTACCCATGATTGACGGAACAGATTTCGAAAAAAATGTTTAGCGGTCAAGCAAGAAATAGGTGAAAGAAAGACGAACTTGCCTTTTTAGACAACTGAAACCCAGGGTACTTCGGGGATGAGAGGTACGTGACGTGAACATAAGATGCGTGACATTAACACTAAGGAAACAGATATGATAATGACAATACATTACGTTCCAAATGCAAATGTGTTTATTACATTTATCAATAAAAATAATCATTATTTGTTTACTCTAAGATACAAATGGTGCGTTTAGACGATAAGCGCATAGGCCTCCTTAAGGGTTTTCATATAGAACGGAACAAACAAGAAGAGATACAACAAAACAGAGGAAAACTTTCTTGAGCAAAAATGGTCATTAGCTTGGTATTTAGATCATAAGTGAAAATTATTAAAACCGTACTGTAGGCAATATCAATACAATACTGTAGGCAATACCAGCTCTGCCGTTTCTGAACATGAAACAGACACAGTATTGACCAAGATCCTTGAGTCCGAGTCATCTGACATCCCACGCAAGATACGAGAGGATATCAACATCAGCGGTAACCAGCCACCCATGAATGGGGGGGAGGGGGGGGGGTTCGATCTACCTGACATTTATAAGAGGGTCCTGGACTCTATACCACCTAGCGGTCAGTGAGTGTCAACATCTGCTTACATCAGTCTGATGAAGGTCTACGTCCAGGTTGGCCGTAAGCTAACGGTATGAAAGTTTTTCGGCTTGTGTTTGATAATTTTCATTTATGAAAACTTTCTTTTTTTTTCAAAAATTTCAGTTCAAATTTGTCAGAAAATGCCATTGGTATGTTTATAGGCTATGCCTGAGTGAAAAGAAGAGTGAGAAGGTTTGGAGAGATTTTTCGTTATTTGCATTTTGTTTGTTTTGTTGTTTCCATGGTTTCCTTTGTGTACAAAAAATTCTTAACAATCGATTATGCATTTTTGAAAAAAAAGTTGATGAAATTAGTTTTTGTTGCTGTTGCGCAAACGTGCTGTGCATGTTTCTAAAGAACAAAAAAGGTCCATTTGTTGACGTCACGATGACGACATAAACGTACCACGTGATGATTTACTTTGAGGAAAAGAGAAATAGGTGAGTCAACAGCAGGATTTATGTTTTCTATAACTTTTTATTTTACTTCCTACTTTTTTTTTTTTTTTTTTTTTTTTTTTTTTACAAATTTGGTAGTTATGGCATGTAATTCATTTACATAGTATCATCCAATGCCAAAATACAAGTGATAGGTTCATTGTGCCCACCGTACTGAGTGCACCGTTTTTGTTATAATGTTCGACTATCCAACAAAAGAATCCCGCTTCCCTTTTAATTTTTTGCATAAGATTATAGTATTTCAAACAGTGAATCCGATTCATTTAACTATTGACATCATTTACAGCTGGAGAGCCGGTCTCTGTTTTATGTTGTAAAAAAACCGTGAATTTTCATTTAAATTGGTACTTTGCATGTCAAAGCCTAGCGTTGTTTTTATCTCAAGTTTACATAAATTCAATTTCATTCGTGTCCCCCATGGTATGTGTGTATTAGTAAGTGGGTTGTTGACGAATGCACGAATGTTGACGACTGACATGGAGCTATTTAAGTCTCTGCGATGCATATGGCTTAATTAACAAACCAAACCGGATTTTCAGATTGTTGACAGCCAAGATATAATTGTTTTCTCCAGGTAGAAATGGGAACTACACGTTTTCCTGCATGCTAGATCATACTGACAATGGTGTGCTGTGGTCGAGCTGCGGACACGAGGGTTGTTCCCATTATGGTAATTCTCTCTTTTTCCCTCTTTTTTTGTATTATTTTTTTAAAGTTATTTTAACGGTCTTGATTAAAACGTCCCCAAAATACAAAACGTTAAATTAAAATTATACATTTTTTGTAACGACATGTTAATCATTAAATAGTGTGCGGTGTATCAATGTATAGGAGTAGGTTAACTTGACCATGTTGCCAAAGCTACCTGAATGAAATATTGATCTGTATGTTATGCTCATTATGTGCAGTTTGTATTATGCTCATTATATTCGTTTCGAGTCGACTATTTCTAAACATCCATGCTAGTGCTTGTAAAAAATCGATATTGGAAGTACAGGTAATATAAGTTATTCATAACACCTGTCGAAAGAACTGATTCTTTTGTGTCCATTGTGGACTCATTCATGTAATTCTTTTGAGTTATATAATGGCTGTTCAGAGTTCCGGAAAATGTGTATTGATTAATGCGCCTTTTTGCATTTTAACACATGCAACTGTACTAGTTCTTTCGATATGCCTGAGGTTGCTATTGCTAACCTGTACGTCAAGGATTGCCGCCATACTGTCGAAGTATGAACGTTCTGTTTTACTTCAGACGATGAATTTATTAGCTCTACATCGAGGAAACACAATGTAGTGTGTCTTTAATGGATAAGGAACTTTTTTACCACCATTTCTCATACATTTTAAATACACTTGAACGTGAAACAGAAAAAAATGGTCTAGGAATGATGTCGCATAATGAACGGTAACTCTCAGGTGCATCCGGAAAAGGTAAAACATTGTTTTGATGATATTCTAGTTCACTTACCAATATCATTTACATGTACATACGTATGCATTAATACAATACATAAGTATGTATTGATACAATGATTTCTATTTATCTGTAGCTATCTTTTATTATTGCCTTGTGCTTCGGTTCAGGGAGGACTTTTTATTTTTAAATGTCAGCGGTGCTTTGTTTTCTCTCCCTCGAGAGTAATTTAGCCTATATTCCATCTGCTTTACACTTGGAAGCAAAGCAAATTTTGTCTAAATTCATTGGAAAAAAAACAGTATCACCAAGCATATCAAACATAATGTAAAGCAGTTTTTACTTAATTTTTACTGATGTTTACGTTCCAGGTCTCCCCTGCTGACCGTGTGGACGATGGCTTTGACGGTCCACTTAAAAACAGGGGCTGCACTGACGTTTTCTTCCTCTTACTATTCATTGCTGCGTTGGGGGGAATGGTAAGAAATACACGTGTACAGGAGGCGAGCCTGTGGTTTTTCTTTTTTTTCCGAGTCTGTTACATTGTCAAACCCTTACTGCCAATACTGAAAATGGCTAGGATGGTAGTTTCTTTTCTCTATACGTATAAATATTGGTTTATGCAATTTGTTCAAAGTTGATAAAACCAACAGACTTATGTCGAATCTTAGCATACATTAAATTTAGATTATAAGTTAATATGATAGAACCGAAATCAAACAAGCTTGTGAGACTTAAGTCCTTTGGATTACTCGGTTTTATCAACTATTTGCATTACATCCACAACCAGACAATCGATTTACAACGATTAAAGGCAATCTTTCGGTATTTTATTTTCAAAATACTGTTGCTCAAGTAATCCCCCATAGCATTTATAGTTGAAAAAATATATTTTGTGAATATTCCATATATTTACAGTGCACGTATTCCATTCCAAGCAAAACCAGACACGATATTTGTCATTCCTATATTGAGACAGTTGCAAAATCGATTGAACAAACTTGCGAAATATATTACCTTGACCCTGCTACAATAGCACGTTTCCTTTTTTATCTATCCAATAATTTAATCATTATGATGTTTTTCTGTCAGAGAAAAAGAAGGGAAGTGTGAATAGATTGATGTCCTCGGTTTTATATCATGCTGTTATTGTGTATACCACCTTTACTCTACGCGTGTTAATAATTCAGCCACCCTCGTCTGATATAATTTTTGATATTCCCTTAATTTCTTTGTTTGCATCTAGGGCTATGTGTCTTATCTAGGCATCACGAAAGGGAACCCTAACATGCTGGTTTACGGGGTCGACAGCTGGGGAAATGTGTGTAATCAAAAAAATGAAATTATCCCCAACGTAACCAGCTCTGGCAAGGACATGACTGGAATTGCGTAAGTGACCATTGCGTTGATTATAAATTGTTTAAAAAATATCACGTCTTTGTATTTTTTAAATTTTGTTATACACTTTTAAAAAATTTGTATTTGCGTATGTTGCGGTGAAAACATTTCTGAAAATCCCTATCAACGTTTTGTGCCCTCAGTAACCTTCCACTATGACAATCAACCTTCCATTTTAAATCATACTGGTTATGTGGGGTTCCAACAACTTCACCTTAATGAAATATAATTTTAGCACAAAATCCTATTCCTTACGTTACAGAAACCTATACCACTACAACTTCCTGCATTCAGCCAACCCAACGGGAAACACTGTAAAACTGTGCGTTAAATCTTGCCCTACGACGGACATCGCTACCGTGACAGCTTTACAAGAATTTGCCACTGTGAATGACTCTCGTCTTTGCCACTATGACGTGAGTGTCTCCAGCTACCACGTGGGTTCACTTGCTGCTGATGCCACTTGTCCACCACTGCCAGTACTGTCTACGTAAGAAGAAAGGTTACAGTTGCTAAGAAAGGAATATAGAAAAAAACCTAAATGGAGTGATCAATTTCTCCCAAAAAAGCAATTATATACATTTTGATAAGTCACGTGTGACATGACATCGTGTGAAAAATAATCTGAACTGTTGAGGGTAGGGGGGGGGGGGAATGCTTAAGAATCTGGCTAAATTAAAGATGAGATTTACCCCATCATGTTTTTTTTTATTATTATTTTGCTGTAGTGCGAGCATCCTTCACCGTTGTATCCCTGCCGCTGCTATTAATGCGGCTCAGTCTGTGGCATCAGGCATGTCCACTGTACTTAATGCCTTGGACGAGGATTTTCTCCAAGTAAGTATGTCGTTTATCGGTATTATATCTTGGGTCACTGATAGAATGCGTATTTATTGACGCGTATATTGATCAATATGGATCATATGTTATTTATAATTTGCATACACGTTTGGTATTTTTATATCACTTATTTTTATTTTGCGGTGTCCCACAAAAAATATACATTATTATTCCACTGGTCTTGATCGTCACTTATACATAGTAAATTTATCCATTTGGCATCAAATATTGTCAAAATTTTCAAAACTGACTTTGAAAAGTGGTATTATTTTATGCAATTGTAGAAGCTTACCACGGACATGGAGACTGCGTGGCGCGAAATGGCATATCTTAGCAGTGGCTCTGTAGGTAAGGAAAAGTAAAACCGAAAACAGATTACAAGGTAGAGTCTGTCCACTGTTTAGCAATACACTAAGGCCTCTGCAGCATAGCCTCTGTAGCACAGAGCAAAAAGACAAAAGATATTCATTTCTATCTTTTAATTTATATTATTCTTATAAATCTACAGGAGTGGCTTTGATAATTTTGGTTCTGCTGCGGTTCTTTGCTGGCGTCATCATATGGTTAGTAATCATTGTCTGCGCACTGGGAAGTTTGGCTGGAACTGGATTTTGCTGGTAAGCAAATCTCCTACAGAACCATTTCACGAACTAATCATTGCTAAGTGTTGGTTGTTCAGTTTTAAATGGCAGCCCTGATATTCTGTTTGCCATGTAAATATCAAGGCAATAAGTTGCGTTGATAAATCAATTGAAAAATGATTCTCGTAGCTTCCAAATGTTCCACATCGTTAGCGAAGGAATGAGCGGAATCAATATGATATTTTCAATCAGTAAAATTATAAAACTCATCACATTGTCAAGTTACTTTACTATAACATGAAACATATATCGTTAAGGTGTGGTCATGTTTAATACAGGTACACCTGGTACACATACAACAAGGCACTGAATGAAACACCTGTATCCGACCAAACTGACGAAGACAAGGAACTGGTGACAAGATGGCTGATTATTGCTTGTGTGGTGTCAGGCATTACGGTAGGAGTCATTCAAATATGGCTTGCTTTTCAGATGGACAATGAGAATACACACAGGCTTTAACGAATATTGACTTTTAAATTAACTAAAATTAAAGCGACGGTTATTTATCTTTCTCTTAATCGTAACTTGAATATTACGTTCCCCAAACAGCCATGTACATAAGAGATACAGCTATATTCCTCTCAGCCAAAAAATATTAATATATATGTATATTACAAGTAAATAACATGTGCACCGTATCATCTACTGTAACAATTATGCCACAAAACGTGAACTTAAATATTTATTCCATTTGTTTCAGTTGATCATTCTACTCATATTGCTGGTCATGAGGAAGAGAATTGCTCTGGTATGCATGCCCGTTTTTGTAAATAATAACAAAAAGAGCTGATATAGAATATAAATAAATTGCCATACGTTACGTTCAGATAGATTCACCTATTGTTCTAGCGTAGGGCATTTTTAAAAAGCTGCATGTTGCCTTATAATTAAGTGGTTTAATTGTATTTGCAGGTGGTTCAGCTATTCAAGGAAGCGGGAAAAGCTATTGCCAAGATGCCAGTAATCTTGCTACAGCCAATTTGGGTAGGGGTAAACTTCCCACCTCGTCGATCTATGAATAAGGGATATGGTAACATACACAATGCATAATTTAAATGACAGATAATTATTTGCTGTTCGAAACTACAGGAGTTTTATCAACATTTTAGAAATGATCTTTTCTTTGTCCAGTTATCAGGCATATTTTACAATTTAGATATTTGACTTTTTCCATATGTTTTTCTTTCATATTCAGACATTCCTAGTGCTCGCTGCAAGCCTTGCTGGGCTTGGATACCTGTTTATGTACTTAGAGACTGCAGGTCAGTGGAAATTTTGCAAAATCATTCATTAGGCTTGGTTACATCTTGCAATCTGTTTGAAAGCCATAACTTAATCGATGGGCTAGCATGAAGATACTCAACGGGAGATGGAATGGGCAGTAACATGTTTGTGTTTATAGATTTATGTCCAAATCACGGTATAATACCAAGGAATATTTGAAAAAAAAATATGTACAGAAATCTAAAAAATATATATAAGTTCCATTTTAATATTGCTTTTTCAGGCGACCCAGAAATCCATTCCTCGGGTCAGGTGTTTTATAAAGTAGACGAGCTTCTTTTCGTAAGTATTTGAAAACGTGTAGATTGGCACATCTTCATTTAACTATTAAATACTACACACGTACATAAAGAGATCACATTACTTGCACCTTTGCATATTATTAAGTGTTTTGACAATTAATTTAGACTACTAGCCAACCAAGTCATTGAATCGTCGTGATCACGGCTATTTTATCAGGTAGATCTCAGTGTAATCCTATCGTTCATTAACTCACCGTCTGGTCTCTTGGTGGGGTATGCTGTTACACAATAAAATCACTGAAATTCATCAGCTTAATGTGATAGGTTGCACATGCCTAAATAATGCATGCGGTACAAACGTTATTTGTATAGTACAAAGAGGCCGCTGAATACCGTCGTTAATTCGTAAATTATTTGATGTAACGAGCCATGCAAGATACGTATGAACGCACATGTTTGAAAGATCGATTAGCAGTGTTCCCAGTATCCATGAGTATCTGTAGTGATTGATCTTGTTTTCCTTTTTCAGTTTTCTAATAATTTATTACCAATTCTAATGTGGTCTCTTGTATCCTGTCCCTGTTTTCTGGGTCTTGGAAGTGGAATCACGTGTCAGTTATCCCTGTTTCAATGTAGAAATTGATTTGGTTTGTTGTATAAAACTGTATTAAGATTATGTACATGTATGTCCAAATTGTTTCTGTATTTCAGTATCTTAAGTGGTACCACATATTCGGCACACTGTGGATCATTCAATTCATCATTGCCTGCCAACAGATGGTCATTGCGGGCGCCATTGCCACTTGGTACTTCCACAGGTTGGTGAAAAATTATTTCCTCACATGTATAATGCCTTTTGTGAAATGTGTAACTTTTTCACTTATGTTGTCGCATTATTCGCCTGCTCGGTAGCTCTTAAATGATCATAATGATAATAATTAATGTCTGTATTCCAACGCGTCCGCAACTCTTTACAAAATGCCTACATTGGATGGGTGAGATATTTCCTAAATATTGAGTCTAAACACAAGCATATATTGTAAACCTTTGTAGTGTATTTAGTTTTCATATCTCCCTGTCATGTTTTACAGAGACAAAAGCCAAATAGGGTATCCTGTCCTCGCATCTACAGGAAGACTCATCAGGTAACGCAGAATCAGTTTTACAAAGGTTGACTTAACATAGATTAATCAGTTTAACCCTCTTATAAGTAAGTTAAGTACAAGTTACTAATGATAGGGCCTATATGAGTGTGAATGACATGCGACTCATGCCTAAAATGATTCTGAAGTGGTATTCCTTATTTCAATAGAATCATTCTCAGACAATGTGGTACTATATAAGAGTTCAAGATAATTTTACTGTATTTTTCTAGATACCATTTGGGCACCGTGGCTTTTGGGTCGCTGATTATTGCTATTATCCAGCTCATGCGAATGATACTTGCATACGTCGAAAAGAAGTAAGTTTTCTGTCTCGCTATGTTTTAACTAAGGCTGAATTATGTTTAGGAGTAACCTTTTTATGTTTACCCAATAAATGTGTAACCTTTTTAATATTTATCCAATCATCGTTAGCATTCAAATCATTGTTATCTACTATCATTCAAACCACTGTTATCTTTCTAGACTAAGAGGAAGAACCTCTAAAATCGTCGATTTTTTGCTCAAATGCTTGATGTGTTGCCTATGGTGCTTCGAGAAGATACTCAAATACATCAACAGGAATGCCTACATCGAAACTGGTAATTGTATGAAAGAATTCATTCAAGGCGGGGTTCATTTCAGTGCAGGGTGATATGTAATCATGTGCTGTTCAAAAATAACAATATGAGGTGAATTTTGACTTAGGCAAAACTTCAAACCATGGCTGAAGAATATACTTTTTCGACTACATCAACAGATTTTAAAAAATGCATTTTTACCTGAATTACAACTTCTTTCGCTTAAAGATTTCACATTGTGACTAATATTCATTTCCAGCTATCTATGGTTACAACTTCTGCAAAGCAGCCAAGAAAGCGTTCACGCTGATTGTCACCAACGCGTTACGTGTGGCCGCCATTAACACAGTGGGCGACTTTCTGCTTTTTCTCGGCAAACTTGGCACCGCTGGCGTGGTAGTAGCAGTTGGGCTGGAACTTCTTAAGGTACCATACTTTCTTTTTGATTTTGATAATAATTGAAATTATGGTTAAGTTTGAGCCAAACGAATACCAGAAAATAAGATATTTTAAACACTGAGCGGAATTAATTATTTTTAGTTTTCCTCATAGTGTTAAACTCATTTTTTTTGTCATCAGTTGGCTGTGGAAATTTTCCAATGTGTTCACGTGAAGTGTTCCAAAAAAGAAACAGTTAATCTGAAAACCTTTGTATATAGTATTCTGCATAATATCTGTATTTAACCTTACTTTTACATAGTCTGGCCTAATTTTCAAAACCATTGTTGAGGATGTCAGGAAAATCCCGTACTTATTTTTATTATGCTTTAATAATTTTTTCATAGACTAAGCCTACCCTTCACTACATTTGGGCGCCACTGCTAGTTGTAGGTCTCTTTGCCTTTTTCGTGGCTCATGTGTTCCTGTCGGTGTATGAGGTGAGGAATCTTGTCATATTAGTTATATTATTATTTTTTTTATTTAAGCATTTAGGGAGTCAAAATTCCATGTGCATCTAGCCATCTTAAACATAGCCTATCTATATATTTGTTACATGAATTAATGAAGTCATCTTTTAGTTAGAGCGATCTTTACATGTATTCCTTTTTAGTGGAAAAATGTCCGTAATCAAAAAGGTTTTTTTTTGCTGTTGTTGTTGTTAAAAATGGTAACCGATGTATTTATTTTGTCGTCAAGATGGCCATTGACACCGTGTTTCTCTGCTTCTGCGAGGATTGTGAGCGCAATGATGGCGTGCAGAAACCATACTACATGAGCAAAGACCTAATGGTAAACATGACATGTTTATTATTTCTACAATTTAGATACCCATTATCGTTTACGTCACTATGCCATCTTTGGACATTTAGATAAAGAAAGCATTTAAATGAACTGTTGGTACAGATGACCTGTACATGTACCTCAACATCTTATTAGAATGCAATTAGATTGTTTTGGACCTGAAAAAATGTTAAAAACATTACATAGCTGATGAAGTAATTTGCTGAAAATATTCTGAATTTTTTGTTTGCAGAAATATGTGGAGAACAGTAACGAAGCCATTGCCAACGCCAACAGACAAGACGCAAATCCCAAGACACCGACTCCCATGTAAACATTCCACATCACTTCCGATACAATATATGAAATGCACTCTAGTATTTCAAGATAACTCATTACTTAATTTTATTTGCCATGCATTGAATATTGTGCAAGATCTTTACCCATGACAGACTAATGAATTTATGTTCACTCTCCGTCCAAAATGTCATTAGGTAGACGAATGTTGTAATTTTTACTGTGATATACATTTATACTTTTTAAAGGATGTCTGTTTAATATTTTTTCTAACAGTTGTGGAAGGTTTTATTCGAAATCATTTATTTGTTATGAATTTTGCCAATTTTAAGTAAAGCGTTATATATTAAATTTACATTGTGTTTCCGTAATTCAAAGTTTTTTGTCTTTATAGTAGATGCATAACCCTTATCACTTTATATCTGTTATTACTATTTGCCTTGAAAGACTAGCATGTCCCCAAACGGAGTAGAACCCATGTTCTCCACCTTCGTTGGCGGGCACTCTCACCACTAGGCCATCCGATACAGGATGCTGACGAACACATCTTTAAAAATGAATGAGGGAAGAAAGAATTTTTTCACAAACTCGTCCATCCCCAAGCATGTGAAGCAAGCGAAGCAAACACGATTCAACAAGTTTACTTTACAGTCTTTCAATATTCCTTTCAAATGTTCTCAGGTCAGTTATTCAGTAACAGATCCACAAGGTCATCATGTTGACCAATTGACTGGTTGACAACTAACCGAGTAAACCTTTGTTTGTAACTGATTTCAAGTCAACCGATTTTATCGGTGGGGTCAATAACCGATTTGTTCTTAGAGTGAAAATACATACAAAATAGTCATTCAAATAGTTATCTCTAATATTAAAACCTTATCTTTAACTTCTTACTCTCCGCCGTGAAACATTTTAACAGTCAGTTTGCCTGAAACGTCCCAGAAAGTGCAGACGGCATTGGGTCTTCATTCAGTTTCTGCAACTTGAAGTGATCTGTGTAGTATTTAACAAACCTGTGCCGAAGCAGAAATAGCACCGTGAGAACGCACAGCATTGTGAAAAGAGCCACCAAGAAAAGAGACACCACAAATATTGGAACGGAAACACCGGCATTGCCTGAAATCAAAAGATGTATGCATACTGTAAATGATACTTATAAAATTCTAATGATTTTCACACCTTAGTTGTAAGTTAATTATTGGAATGTTTCCAAGAGGCTGTTAAAAACGTAATATTGACATAGAAAAAACATACCATATATATACTGACAGTCAATGAAAACGCATCAGAAAACTTTCTTGTACATTTTTTACCGAGAATCGATTCCAACCATATAAACGAGTACAAATGCACTTGTTTGGTCATAAGAAAGTCACCTTGTTTGACTGAATAATGGGTCATATTTCACACGAAAACTGTTATTTTCTTAATGTTCCAAAGGAACTTATATATTATTTGATAAATAAATGAGTTTTCATTGACTGTCAGTATATTTTAATTGAATTACTGTGACAGCTGTACCTTCAGGCAGCTGAGATTGTTTCTGATAAGACCCAGCTTTCGTTGAAGGTCGAGGCGTCACTCCGGCACTGGATTTGTTTGCTTGGGTCGTAGACTCAACAAGACACGTTTTTTCATCCACTTGTGGGCATTTGTATTTGCTATCGGTTTTGTCCCCTATTATCCACAAAAACATTTATTATGACATATGCTGTGTAAAAAAAGAAACTACCAAAACATGCTGAGATACTTTTTAGCTTTTTAATGCTGATTAACACATATGGCGTTTGCAATTTTTGATTTTCTTTATTCTATTCGATTAAATACATTTCTTTGAAAAAAAAGAATAAACTATGAACAGCATTATGACATTTACCCACTGGATGAAGGTTTTCTGCAGAAAGACCACATGAGCCAAGGACTTCCTGGACCTTTCGCACGTCATTGGAGATTACAGGGACCTCCGACGGGACCCACTGAGAGCCTTCCTCTTGCAGGAACACGAAATACCAGCTGTTCTCCTGAAAATTAGTCTCGTAGCACCAGCCAGGGATATGACCTTGTACAGAAAAGAAGATTAAACGAATATATTTAATCTTAATTTTCGTCAGAGATCGACTGAAGACCCTTGTATTGCCAAAATAGGGATAAGGGCGTTTTCCATAATGATAATTATGTTCCAACCCTCCGTTCACAATGATTTGAGCCTCCTAGCGGTAAATGCAATGTTTGACTTAAAGTGATATTGAATATGAAGACACAATTTTCCATCAATAAGATTTTGTTTGTGATAAATGTTAAAGAAGATTAAAGACTATAAGGGTTTGATTCATACGACTTTTGTAACACTAATTTGCCTACAGTCACAAGTTTCCTTAATGTCTGCTTCAATAATGCCATTTTTGCGACAAATGCTTAAAAAACATAGATAGCTGCATTAGAATGGACATGAATAGATTTAGCAATCACTTGTTCACTATGCTCTTTTCACACATTTCTTCTACACGTTTGGCGATATTTTCTCTATTTCCCGAGAGACATAAAGAACATCTTCGTTTCCAGATTGTATTTACAGTATTACAGTTAAGTACATTTTAAAATCAGATAATGGTTATTCATGAAGTAATATCCATTGAGAAAATCTTATTACAGAGATTACGACAAAAAAGAACTTGTGTCCAATAAGGTGAACCTACGACAAGAGCAAAAATTATGAAATACTAATTTACCCTTTTCATCCATAATTCTTTCCAGGTTACAATAGTTTTGTCGCCAAATTTGGGATGAACATTTATGATAAACAGCAAATTAAGCCTCTTTATTATTACTGTGTAGTAAAGATGGGGTCTGTTAAACCCGGCGATCAAAAATTGTTTTACATACAATCTTGTAATAGTTTAGTTAACATAGCAAAGGCACAGCTGCAAACAATTTTATAAAGATTCAAGTGATGGACAGTACGTTCTACAAACGGCCCCACTTTTATATCAATTTTTTTGTCTGAAATTTTGAAAATTCCAACGGGGCTTCAGAGGACCAGCAATGCATTCAAACATATTTTATTGCTATGAAGTCAATGCATAATCAAAACTTCTGGGTATTTTAGGGAATGGTTGTGACAATAATTTTTTTAAAAATAAAAGCTGAGAGGTTCCATCATGCGACCGGACGTTTAAGGGGAAAAAACTAACATCTCTGAAAGGCATTACTGACGACAAAAATGTTCGTAGAATTTTTATCATTTGGCAGCTGTCAAACCTATGCACAAAGGTTCATGATCCAGTTGTCATTTTCTTATTTTGACCTTTGCAAGTTGAGGTTACGACTTATCCTGCTTAGTGGGCCTCAGATATCAAAACACTGTCTAAAGTTCAAACCAGTGCAGTTGCATTGATTGAGTATGATATATTGGAACTTGAACTAAAACATCCTAACCAAACAAATGATATGAGAAATTGTAAACTTCACTTGCCAGTCTTCGTGATGTTGATGAGTCCATTTACTCGGGGTCCTTTGAAAATACAGTGTGTTTCCAAAGTCACCGTATATGACAGCCCCGTGTCAGTCGCAGGATAACGGGCCAACACCTCCCCATAGACCACAGCTTCTGCGTACTGGATGTTTTCTGAGATTGTGGGATCTATATACCCTTCTCCACACCCTACCACCTCCCGGGCACCACACAAAAGGGAAACGAGGGTGAGGATTGTTCTCACCATAAAAAGTGCCATATGTTTAGTGTAACGCAGCCCTGCAATCTACGCAAATAGTCATCAGATTGTTAAGGAGGGCACTGTCTTTCTTATCGTTTGCTGCCATGAAATAGGTGAGATATGATGAACATCTAAACTTGGACACATTCTAGAAAGGGTCGTATTAAGTGCTGAGGTATCATACTCCTGTTAACGGTCCCTTTACCTTCTATCTTATAATTCGAACACACGAGAACAATACTGAGGGACCTGTCTGCCTCTGGGGTTGTACTTGCCAACCCTACGTGAAATTGTCAAAATCTTTCTACTGATTTTCGCACCCTAAACCTACACGAAGGCCACTTGCATCTTTCCAAAGATGAATGAGTACACGCCTTACGTTGCTTCACGAGTACCTTAAATTACGAGGTTTCTTGTGTTCCGTTATGTCTCTGTTCTCCGTGCGGAGATTTTGAATCAATTTTGAATCAAAATACTTTATTTATGTCGCAGATGAAAGTACGGTAAAACCTATTGAATAGGCTTTGGCAATAAATGAATTTAAAAAAGACAAAAATATCTAGTGCTTCATTAAAAGCGCACAAATAAAGACATGACCCCCCCTCCCCCCAAAAAGTTGTTCTATTTTCAACTATTGTTCTTCTTTAATTTTTTAGTCTTGCGTCCCCCTATCAATAAATAAATATTTTAATTATGACATTACAGTTGTTTACATTGAAGTGCTATAATATATGGAAGAAAGAAGTATAGAGTGAAATTTTATATCATATGAAGGCATTCACTTCACCAAGCCCCTTTCATTGCGTCTTTTAGTTCAACGGATCTAGGGAGCTGTAGCTGCATAGAAAAAGAGAAGATGTAGGATAAACACTTAAATTTCGTCAACAAATATGCGGCTGTTTAAACAATACAAAAAAGGGCATTCATCATTATCACTTTCTTCACACATGATTTAATAACAATCTTCGAAACTTTGTCATCATGCAGTCTTCACGTGTTTTTTTTTTGGTTAACCATCTGTGATTTACATGACATAATCGCCTTAGATTTCACTGAAAAAATGTTAGCTCACCCAACATAAAAATTTGCAAACTGTTTATAGCAAAATAATATTCCTCAGTGTTTACAACATTTAAGTTGACTGAATTAACCGTTTTTAATTATGCGTACTTATCAGCATTTAAGATGCAATTAGATGTTAACTCTGTGAGAACATTTAAACAAAGAAATTCAAATGGCCTGATCAAAGAAAATGTTGCTGGTTCTGGATATAACATGCACATGTACCTCAACATCATCCATACTCAGCAATTTAAGGTAGACTGTATTTAGACGTGAGTCTCCATGTATTACAACCCAGTCAACCACTGGTCTTGGTAACAGAGACGGACGTCTTTGGGAAACGGTGGTATAACGTCTTTAATAAAAATGCTTGTGTTTTTTAAACATTTTTCATAACGTCTTGATGTAAAACGCACCCAATACCGATACCAAACCGAAACGCCTTCGCATCGGTTTATGAATAATAATAATAATACATGTAATAAATATCACTATCAGGATCTGGTAAGATTTTGAGATTGAGAATTGTGTTTTATATGTCGCATTTTTACCAAGTGGGGATGATCATTCGGGTAGTATTATTGCGGGTCGATAATCATCCGGGGGAGGAATGTAACCTTGTCCTTGTGACTTTCACAATTATTTACCTCCCCCAAAAAAGGAACAACCTGTCCTGAAAAAGGAAATTCCAGCAAATCTGATTTATTCAATACTACAAACTACAAACTACTACTAACGCGATCGCATATAAGTTAAACGTAGTTTGATTACCTTCTACTCATTCATTCCTGAAATAGAGTCGTCTGTAAAATGAAGTCTCGTGGGACGTGCTGTTTGAATACAACCCGTCCAAGGTTTATGAAAATAATGAATCAATTGATGTTCAACGATACTTGCAAAGTATACAAAATATTATATTTAATCATTATGAAATATACCCGTTATATACTGAATGAAACCCCGTGGCTTACGATATTTCCCCATTTTTTAATTCTGTAGATAGAAGTCTGTAGATAGAAGTCTCTGGAACTTTTAGGCGAATACGTCACCATGGCTCAGACTGATTGAGAACTAATTTCAAGTCCAGTAATAGCTTTAAAAACTTTATTTGTGCTATCTTCGTCGTTTACACAGCTGGACTTATCACAAGTACAAATATATACAAACACGTGTATTCGAATTTCAATTCCATTTTCATTGGCTTATGGCCAATTGGGTCACTAAAAACCAATCAGACCCTTTTATAAACAGTATATATATAGGTTTGCGTTTTCTTTGAGTTCACAGTTATCTTTCATTTCGCAATGTCTGTGGCGATCGTATCTTTCAGCCTTCTAATAATTTGTTTCGCCGCTTGTCAGGCATCGGCTGAAACAACCCCAAGCGGTCAATTGGCCAGCGTCTTTCCAGAAAAGACATCGTTTCAAAATAACAACTATGTTCGGGATAGATTTCTCCACTTCTTTGATCGTCAGATACCTCCTAGGGTAAACGGCAAAAGTAACAAGGTTGTGAACAAGTATATGTGGAAACTGTATAAGGAGATGACAAATGGTGCGGCCTTCGAACCCCAAAGTGTATCTAGTTCTAATCGGCCTACTGCGACACGTATCCAGGGAATCAGATCTTCAGGTGGACGTGAAGGTGAGCTTAAAAAGATACTAGATTGTATTAAATTGATATCTTTGCAACTTAAACGGTAAAAATTTATAACATTACTATTTCTTCAGTTTAAAAAAATTGGGCATGTGGTCAAATTTTAAGTTGGCGAAATAACAACCTTCAGAAGCTTAAAAACAGCAATATTTTTAATGTGATACTACAATGTACGTATAATAACTAAAAGCTGTTAGCATATTTCACCATGTTTTCGTATACTTCATGATAGACAGATCTTAGTAAATTCAACTAAAAAAGGGTAGTTGTACATGTAACACACCATAAATACACATTAGTCAGACTAATCCAGAGTTTCAGTACTAGTGTTCGTTTTGCAGACTTTCATCCATACGAGCAATGTTATGCGGTAGTCAAAAAGTAGTATGTTAAGTAAAAATATTTCATTAAATGTATAACTTCTCTATACATGACATTCAAAATTCCACAAAAAATATACATAAATACTATAAACTATCGCCTTTTACGCCGTCAGGTGTCTAGGGCATCAACAGAGGTCCTCTCCGTCTCTAGCTAGGATTGTCCCCCAACTTTCTCCCAATTGTTTTACCTCTGCTTCGACAGTCCTTCTCCATGTGGTCTTAGGTCTGCCTCTTTTTCTATGTCCCTCTGGTGTCCAGTACATGGCTACTTTTGTGGTGGAATTTGGGTCTTTTCTCAGCTCATGACCAATCCATTTCCATCTTCTTGTCCTGATGACTTCACCTATGTTTCTCTGGTTGGTTTGCTTTAACAGATCGTCATTTGATATAGATCTTGACCAGAATATTTTTTAAAAATTCTGAGGCTTGAGGTGTAAAAGAAAGATAGCTTCCTTAGGTCTTCTTCTGTTATGCGCCAGCATTCTGAACCATAGAGAAGAGTTGATAGTACACAGCTCTCAAATATTCTCACATTGAAATGTAATAAATTCCATTTTACCACCAAAACAGCGGCTGTCGCAATTATTCAGAAATCTGTGCTTGCCATCGAACCACGTGGACATTCATATGTAGATGGCTACCCTCCTCAATAATCTGTTAAACTATTACTGGACCTGAAATTTAGTCTCTTTCAGAGATTATTACAAAAACACGGTTAAAAAATCGACTGACTTTGAATGTCGGAACAGACCTATTAACCATGGAAAATCGTCGTCTACCCCAGAAAAATGGCACTTTTCCCGCCCTAATAAAGACTTGTCATCCCTTTAATTGTGTAAACTCTGTAAACTTAATTTCATACACAGCACTGCTCGTGTTATGTGGGAATTTGTAGTAACACACGCATAAAATTATCCTACTATCGCATATATTGTATACTGTGGTTTAGTTATGTTGGACATTCAAACAAATTGATGGCCGAATCGCAAATACGCCTGTATTTTATCCGTTGTAAAAACTGCTATATTTATAGTAAAAGACTTTTTCAAGGTAATTGTCATTTCATACTGCCAGTAAACCATATTTGATCCTCGATTTTTACTATTCCAGGTAGACATCCAGAGACTATTGATTTCAAAGTAATCAACATCCCTCACCTAGATGAAATTCGCCAGGTACAGCTTGTAGTCCACCATAAGGCGTTGTCGATCCTGCACTTCATGGAGTTGGGAGCTCCGTTTAATGTACGTTATCTGACATCAAACTGACGGGGCCACGTATTTCTGTTAATTTTTTAATCCAATAAGTTAATATTCCTAGCTTTTGCTTAACTCTTTTTGGTCGGGATATGCGAAAAGTACGAAGAAGCTATATGATTTACAATATTTTACAGTAATTTACAGTATCTGTCAGAATGAATTTGAATAGATCATAGTCGTGGAAAAGGGTCCGGGCAGGGTCCGGGATAAAAATCCCTTTCTTGATATCCTGGAACCCCCGTAATACATGTAGATACCAATTCTTGTAGATACGTATTTGCACTTATTGAAATGCATGTGTCATTTGATTAACCATTGTCATACTCAGTTACCATTGTTTCCATGAATTATTGGCGTTTTTTTTTTTGTCGAAGTTATAGCGAAATTTATTTATTTTTCAAAGCTCTAACTGATAAGACAGAATATTTCAGTATTTAATTTCTATCGTTAGGTCACCATCGAGGATGCCGACATCGCTGCTAAAGGACCAGTGGCTTACCGGCTCGTTCGACCTAACGATGTTTTGAAGGACGGTTTCCATACCTTCAACGTGACAAACATCGTTCTTGGTTGGGCTGACAGATCAAGATCAAAACATGGTTTCCGCATCAAGATCACGCCACTAATGCGAGAACCCTTGAGAAAGCAAAGCCTCTTGCGTCGGATGTATCATCTGAAAAATGACCATCCCAAATATTCGCCGCTTTTGGTTTTTTTCTCGACCTCAGTTGATCAGCTTTATTCAGTGGCTCTCCAGCGACTTCGCGAGACACCTCCACCAGCTCTACGTCTTCAGAGAAGGGACGCAGACCTTGCCTGTAAGCTGCATTCCTGGGACATCAAGTTTGCTGAATTAGGATGGGATTGGATCATAGCTCCCTCTGGGTTTTCACCAAATTACTGCGCCGGTTCTTGTCCACGACCTTTGAAATTCGGCGACACGAATATTACCAACCACGGGCTTGTCCAAAGCCTGTATCGCATCCTGCATAGGCAAAAGCACATCCCAGTCGCTCACTGCGTCCCTATTACTTATAAGCAACACGGATTGATGCACTTCGATGAAGATGGCAATGTGGTGATTTTATCATTTCCTCGTATGATAGCCACTGGTTGTGGCTGTCGTTAAGAACCGATTCCTTTGTAAAATTGAAAGCAAACTAACTGACAGGAGGTATTCTTTGATTATGAATGTTGAATTTTACGCTCGGCGACGAAAAGGACTCTGTCTTTATGCAAATCGTGTACATAACAATAGTAGCAAAAACTTTATTTAGCATAATATCAAAACATTTGTTAGATCTGGAGTTAGGCAAATTTCCTGTATTTTTTCTTCTTATAGCTGTAACGGGGATTATGTTATTGTATTTTGCAATGGTAAAATTTATAAAAGACCATCTATACAACCACTATGTTTCTTTAGTCACAGGGACATACACACACTGAACAATAGAAGTGTTACCCCTACTGAACCAATACTTTAGGGTAGATAAATGACTGCGGAATGATATGCTCCTGGTATCATTTTATTAACATCAAATTTCCCAAAAAGACCAACGATACAATTCCATGGTACAGCAGTTTTATACTAATTAGTCACATTATAAGTAGACCAGGCATTATAACTTTGATTAGGCCTACTCTGATTCATGGGGTGACACTTCTATTGTCCAGTGTGTGTAACTGCTACTACCTCCTGTATTACAATCTTAACATGGACAATGCTTTTCTTAGACAGCAATATATTGGTAGCATATTTGAACAAATGTTATTATTATAATATTTATAATGTATACGATTGGTCTTGAGTGAAGAAACCATTTTGTGCTCTTCGTATTATAGAATAGATATTGCTTTGAAAGTAAATGGTTATTTCAAAATCAAAATATCTTTTTTTGTTTTACACGATCGGAAGTAAAATATATATGTTTGGAAAGAGAGACACACACGATCAGAAGTATAATATATATGTTTGGAGAGAGAGAGACACACACAAAAGAAGTTTGATTTTATTAAAGAAAAACGAGAACAACTGAGAAACAGCGATGCAAAAACAATCACATCAACATTCTGCGCGCAAGTTTTCTGTAATTCAAAATTAAGTTTTGTTGTGTTTAAAGATAATTAATCATCAAAACACCGGACGATAAGATTCAGTTCAGCCATGAAAATAGGAACCCCGGTTTTAGTCTCGTCCGAATTAACCTGGGTTGAAAAAAATTTTACACGGTGGACCTCAATTAAAATCCCTTTCCCCTACGTTAAAAAATTAATAATAATAATAATAATAATAATAATACGCACAAATAATCCAGTATATGTCTAAGCCTTTTCGAATGCATCACAAACGCTTCGGTTTTCAGTAGCTCGCACGAAATGTTGAACGGTATGAATGAGGAGAGGAGGCGGCAGGACACGGTACCTAGGGCTCACAAAACAGACATCTTTTTTTTTTTTTTGTCAACACCAAAAAAGTCTTAATTATTATCGAAGAAGAAATGACACGCCAGGTCAACGAATCGTGACAAGTGCAACAAGTTTTAAAATAATGGTAAAAGTGAGAAGAGAGAGGGAGAGAGAGAGAGACGAATTGAGGATGCAACCATTTCGGCGATTTTCTATTTTGATGAAAAAAGTAGGAACATTAACTAACAATATGAGACCGAATGTAGGTCTATATAAAATTAGTTACGTACTCGTATTAATATGTCCCTGTTTAGGGGGCCAATAGTACCTTAGTAATTTAAAAACCATGAAACAAGTGATTAAAATCTGATAAAACATTAAAACATTTTCAAATTTTTTTTTTTTTTTTTAAATCCCAATCACACAAAAGTAAAAACCTTTATATTTTGGAAATTGACGGGGGAGGGCTGGGTTGTCATTGTTAGTTTCAAGATTTTTCAGTAACCAAGGTTTTCTTGGTATTTGCAGATATGGAAAATATCAGACGTTAAATATTTCTCCTTAGAGGCGTATTTCAGATCCAATCAACAAAAATGTTAATTAGTCTTTTTTTCAGTGTTTTTTTTTTCTTTTACGGATGTCATTTCTTTAGATCAAAATGTTTATAATGAAAATAAACTGATGTAATGTTTTGCTATTTAAATCTTTCTTCACAATCCTTGAAATAAATATCAAACGGTTAACAAATATTCTTAACTTTTGAAACCAAGAGTGACCCCTTTCGAAACTAGAAAAGCACTCAGAGAGCCCAGACCTCCGCCAAGGCAGCAAAGTCTCCATCAGACTCCATCCAATGCCGTTTCACACCTAAATTTTCGATTTTTTTATTATTGATTATTGATTGATTATTGATCCAGATCACCACCAAAAACTAATCATGTTCTTTGGTCCACTTCTGACAGTTCCTGAAAATTTCATCAAAATCGGTCCATAACTTTTTGAGTTATGTTGATGTCAGACAGACAGACAAACAAACAAACAAACAAACAAGCAAACAAACAAACAGGGATGAAAACATAACCTCCTTGGCGGAGGTAATAAGAAAAAGGATCAAAAGGTCGATAGGCCTATATTTGTGGCAGACTCCAGGTGAGTCTGGTAACTCACAACTCGCTTGAGCATTACCCTTTATCTGTCTATTTTTAAAGTCTCTTGCAATGTCGGGTATCATCAAGTTTTCTTTAAGAAAATAAAATTTTTCAAACTAATGCACCGTAGTATGTAGGATCTTCTGCATGATTTTAAATTATAGGCTACCTAGCCTACGTAGATCTAGGCCTACTAGGACTTTTCATTTAAAAAATAATAATCATTGTTTTAAACGAGACAATATAAAAATTGACTCTATTTCGGATGTAAGATGAATAAATAAAATAAAGGGCGACTAAAAAATTAAATCAGGTTTGCGGACGAAGGCATTGTATTCACAAGCTTGAAATCACGGAGAGACAGTCAAACATCCATGTAGCCAATTGTTAACCAGATTGCGTTAGTTGCGTCGTCGCATTCCATGTTTTATTAATAACCAAAATGGCAGCCTCCTGACGACGATGGCTCAGGAAACACCCAATAATTACAAACGCGTTACTGAGGACTATTTTTCTCGTTTGCACTCCGCGTAAGTAACTGTCATATAACAGGGGTATGTACCATATCACCCAACTTTCTAAATAAGAAGATCTAATGCCTATAAAGTCACTTAAGTTACCTGGGCTAGGTACCCATTGTACATTTGTATGGTACCGCCGGCACAGGAGCAGATTCATAGCACTGTTAGTTTTAATATGAAGTATGCCCCCAAAAGTCATGCATGTTAGTCTTGATGTTCGATATATTTTTGATATATTTGATCAATGCCCCGCTATTCACATTTTTTGCGTTTTACTGACTGATTTTTTGCAGACCCCCCCCCCCCCCCACACACACACGCACACGCACACATTACACGTCATGTTAAACATGTTAAATATGTTTTCTTTGTGTGTTGACTTTAGACAATGTCTGTGCTCATCAAATTAATTAGTTTGGTCATTCATTTACTAAATTTAAGATGTTTTGTTTATGTAACTGTGTGTTCCAAATATTATGAGAGCCAAGTTAATTGCTGGGGGGACAATTTGCAGTAATCCATTGGGCAGAGAGCTTGATAACTTAATATAAAATGTATAATATAAATATAAAATATGTTAGTAAAATTCTAAACATATTTATTTGAACAGCAGGGACGTTGATCAAAGTCTTTTAATTTTGCTTAGCATTTTAATGCTAAAAAAAGTTTAAAAAGTTAGAGAGTTACAAGGTGGGAGGTGGGATATACTCCATAAGTACCAAATATTTTATTACTTATGCAAAGCCAATGATCAAAGCCACTATACATAACAGAATTTTAGAAAAGCATTGGAAATCACGGACATACATGTAAAAGATTGGAGGGCATGCTGGATAAGTACCAAAGTAATCAGCAAAGTAAAGGTATGTTATATATCATACAGTATGTTTTTACTGTATGCATCAATCTTTTTTTTTTTTTCAGATGGGTAATGGAAGAAAGTGGTGATAAGACAATGGGTGAGGTGTCATCCAATGTCACTGTCCATCGATGTCCAGTTTTTGGAAGACTTCATTTTGTTAGAGATCAAAGGGGTATAGCATGCCTGAGCTTTATTGTTCTCTACTGGATATATGGGGTCTGGAGTATGAGCTTCTTAATTATTTACCCAAGGTACCAACAAGGACTCCTTAATGTTGTTGCCATAGCTTGTAAGTATGAACTCTGGAGCCAGTATTTGCAAGGTTAGGTTCAGGTCCTTCAAAGGAAGGCATTGTAAAAAGAATGTAGTTTGTGGTTCAAATATGTAAAAATGTTTTCAATCAAAGTTACAGAAAATGTATGAATCAGCATTTTTAGTCTACTCCTCATGATCCCCGACATCAATATTGGCAAGCAACCTAAAGTCTATTCTTACTGTAATCTGGAGCCATCTTATCTCTGTTACTTGTGACATCCATATGTTGAAATTAAAATGTATCAAGGGGTACAACTGTTTGACCTCAACCAAATGGGGACAAATTGTAGATCTGTTAAATAAGAATGGAATAAGTTTTGGGATCGTTTCTGAAGATGTGTATCCAACTTCCACAAGACTGGCATCCCCCAGGAGTACTAGAGTATAAAGTACATGTAGCACACAAATTAAGTCTGTTTATGACACTGAGATGAGGGGAACAAATAGAATAGTGCAAAAAGATATTTTTGTAGACTTTCAAAAGGTAAAAGACTTTTATGTACATATACATTCTCACGCACTTTATAATACATTCTATAAAATATCGTATAATATTTTCATATTAATTATATATGTGGTTTATTTTATTTATAATGTTGATTGAAACATTCATTTGTTATAAAAATCATATGAACTTGTTTTCAATTTTATAATAAACATATTCTATATTTTCTTTCTAGTATATGCCTTTTGCAGTGTTATGACTATATGCAGCTTGTTCAAAGCAGCCACCACCAACCCAGGGAGGGTACCATTAGTTGAGCAGCCTCCAGTGACTGGTAATAGATAGCAATAATTTTTCCTACGTAGCATGTGCCTTGTATGTGAGTGAGTTTGTGCACTTATCTCTCAATATTCTTTCTTCTTCCCTACCCTTACCAGGGCCACAGAATTTTTTTTTTTTGCTAAACATTCATAGATATTTCTCCCAGTTTTCTTTAGCTGTGTGCATGTTTATGTCCAATGAAGATTTTTTCACAGTAATCACATCCTCACCCTCCTGACCTCTGGTAGATACAGCACTACTTCCCTCCCTGTCTGTCTGTCTGTCTGTCTGTCTGTCTGTCTGTTTTTTGTGCATGAATGTTTGTTTGCCCTTATGTGTCTGTTTTTGTTATTTATGAATGCTTTAGAAAATAAAATGAGAACAGGACAATTAGATAACACTTATGTTTATATAAATAACTATCTGTGTATTTGATTTTTTTCCTGTACTTAAGGAAAATAATCTTATCTTTTGATATTTCTGTTTGGCATATAAGGGCAGGGTGTGTCAAAAAGAAATGAAACAATACTTTTTATTTATTTTATTTTTTAAGAATCCAATGTAACTTAAAGATTCAGCTGTAAATGTCACTGATGTGACAGGAAAACTTAATGAGTACAATATTTGCACTTAGTATGATTTGATTTGATATATTATACTCGATGCTGTTTGTTTGAGGGTTCACTTTTGAAAATTAGATTTGTTATTGTTATTTATTTTTAGATGCAGATCAGTGGACATTTTGCCAGAAGTGCAAACAGCAGCGGCCCACCAGAGCGCACCACTGTAGACGATGTCAGCAGTGTGTCATGAAAATGGACCATCACTGTCCTTGGTGAGGTTATGGCAGCAGTGCGAGGAAACATAATTAAATAACCATACATCTGTTGTAAGAATGAATGCATGAACATCGATAATGTGAAACTGGCAAATTATGTGCTTTATTACATATAACTGTGAGCAATATTTGAATATTTTGACATTTTTGTTTATTATTTCTAGGATCAACAATTGTGTTGGTGAAGCCAACCATTTCCATTTCATGCAGCTGTGTACCTATGCCTTTCTAATGAGTCTTATTGCCTTTGTGATGTGTATGGTGCACTGGTACTTGTGGCCTAAATGCCCTGCGACAATATGTGATAAGGTATGGTGAAGCAGTTACAGCCAGTGTCAATCTAATATAGTTCATTCATTCGCATCAGTGACCCTAAGCCTTTATTCACGCTGTCTCATTGATAAACAATGGAACTGGTTTGTGTTGAACAGTTGAATGTAGACCATGTACATATTTTGTTTACTTGATTTCAATGTAACCAACTTTAATGAAGATACAAAAAAAAAAGAAAAAGAGAGAGAGAGGGAGAGAGAGTAAACAGTTTTCAGATTTTTTCACGGGTATTTCACTGGAACTCCTGCCTGTGTTTTGCACTGGAACGCCTGCCTGTGTTTTGACAGAGAGGAATCAGCAAAACAGAATGCTAGTTCAGATCAACTTTTTTTAATGCAAAATAGCTGTATAATGTTAACTTTAGTGCCTGTATGGTCATTGCAGTACTTTAGTCCACTTGCAAATGCTCATGGTAAACAAGTTAGCTACATCATGCTAACTGATGCTGTTTTATATATTCAGTTGTTGTTTTTTAATGTATTGCCTTTGTTTTTTTCAGTCTGTTTATTACATGCGGCATCAGCAGGCCTTACTCTACTTTTCTACTTTCTTATCCTTTCTGATGGCCTTTAGCATGCTGTTAATGGTGTCAGGACAACATTTTAATCTTATTATGGTAAGAGGAGCTATCATTATATGACATTATCATTGACTCTGTGTGTATGTATTTGGCAGTTAAAACCCTGCATGAAAAGGAGGTGCTTATTTGCATATTAAATGAAGAAACTTTTTTGTTGTAAGAAATAAATTGTGTGTTTGTATATGTGTGTATGTGTAGCATAATCAGATGTGTATAGCCTACTCAATCGTCATTTTGAAATCAGCCCAATAGCACAGACATGAATTGACTTCTCTTGAAAATTAAGAAAATTAATGTTGTGAACAATGAATATCTTAAAGTCAGTTGTTAAGTTGGAACATCACTTCTTAGTTAATGGTTTTTATTGTACCACCAGCATAGGCTCTCCCCCCCTCCATGTCACCATTACTGCTCCTCCTCCTGGACTACAAGGGCCTGTGTACTCATCCCTTGAATTTATGTCACAAAAAATTGCATCCCAATCCAAGTAAATTATGGGCTCTGTCGGTGCACTGGTCTAGGTGTCGTCACCATGCACAATTTTCAAAATTTTATGTTAAATATCTCCGAAACCAAAGGAATTTTAGGAAAGGAACCACAGAAGGCTGACCGAATGTCATACGTGGAGATTCCAAATATGCCCTTGTATTTGACCTTTGATCTTTATTTCAAGGTCAAACAGGCCAAAATTTTCTAAAAATGGGATTTTTCAGGAAATACACAGATCTAAGCTCTCATATTATATAGCAAGAGGTTACAAGTCCTAAATTCACAATCTCACTACAACCTTGGATTTAACCTTTTACTTTTTCCCACGATTTTGTTATGAATTGTAATTTTTTACATAAAAGTTGAGAACTCTTGTTTATTGCATTTTGAAGAGCTTGTTAAGCACAACACTGGAGGTGGTGGCCTTTTTTTTTTTTTTTTTTTTTTTTTTTNGCTCTCATATTATATAGCAAGAGGTTACAAGTCCTAAATTCACAATCTCACTACAACCTTGGATTTAACCTTTTACTTTTTCCCACGATTTTGTTATGAATTGTAATTTTTTTACATAAAAGTTTAGAACTCTTGTTTATTGCATTTTGAAGAGCTTGTTAAGCACAACACTGGAGGTGGTAGCCTTTTTTTTTTTTTTTTTTGTTTCCCATATGAATGCTCTTACTACAGCTGGTGGTACAATACCCTGAGGTGGCATCACCTCTCTGATCCTCTAGTTTGATTTTCTTTCAGGACAGAACAACTTTGGACAACCTCAGGGATCCATTTGGTAAAGATCAGTAAGTACATGTTTTAAATAAGTAAATGAAAGATTATGCTGAACATTCTCTATATACAATGTTCCAAGAACTTCATTGTGAAGATTATAATGTAAAATAAAGATTTGTTTTTGTTGGCAACCTCAACATAAACATATTGGAAAGATAAGAGCAAGTTTAAACAAAAATCCCGTCTTATTCCAGATAAGGTTCACTTGTATGTTTATGTTGTTGTTTTTTCAATTGAAAAATATTTTGTCTTATCTTTGTTACATCACCTGTCATAAGTTTAATAAGGACATAAATGATCTGTTATTTAGTGACCTTTGAAATGTTATTGCTGCAGATTCTCAATTTAAAATTGAGTGGATTAAAACCTTTGCATATTTTACCATTCTGTAGAGCAACATTTTATGCTGATCATTTTCATCTAAGCTATGATTGAAACTTATTAAGTGTTTTTATTTTATGATATTGAAATGATATCCTAACATTTAAATAAAATGTTGATTTAATTTTACGATTAATTTAAAGCTTGGTAGTAAAGTTGTTGGTTTAAAATTCCCCATTTTTGAAAAAAACTAATGAGGCAAATGTGTTTTCAAAAATTAAGTGGTTTATTAAAATTTATATTTAACAAAACTGCCTTCTTTCAGGAGTAGACCGCTGACTTTGAAATTCCGTACTTGTCATGACGCTTACACAGATCTCTGTGGACCTGGACACAAAATATTTTGGGCATTTCCCTGCAGGAGGAGAAAAGTTCTAACATCTTACCATTACTATGGCAATCCAGTTTGAGACAATGCATGTGCAAAGGCAATTGTAAAATTTATCCTGATACATGGATCTTTGATATTATTGGTTTTGATTGGAGAATTACTGGACATTTGCAGTTGGGGAAATACTGCAAAAAATAAAAAAGGGATTTTTTTGCAGTGATATTGAGTATACTAGTTATTGCCATGTTAGGTTGCTTGAAGAGAGCTGTAACTTTCTTTTGGGTAGATTCTATCCTTTGACTAGCATGACAGTCCCAGATGAATGTAATCAGACAGAGGCCCAGTTGCAGTAAACCTCTCTGGTAAGAGAAAGTTTTTTCATGTGTACCAAGTGAGAAATGATCCTTTTGGAAAAGTATATAAGGGTTAAATTACAGGGTATAATTGTAACTTGTATATGTACTGTTTAACATTTTGTAGTTATGTTTGATAATATGTTATGATTTTTAATAAGCTTTGATGCAGAAATGATATAAAGGGGGGAATAATTTTGATATAACAGTTGATTACATTATGATAAGTGCTTGACAATTTGCAGGTTGAATTTTAATTTATCATCAGTTTATTTTATATCTTACTTGTCTGCTTTTTTATGATTTTTTTTTTTTTTTGTACTTTTTGCTTACTGGGTGTCTGTTATTTTGGTTGTTTGCATTTTTATCAAGTGTAATACTAAGAGAATGTAAAACAAAACAAAATACATATTTTTCTTCAGTACAAACACCTGTTGAAAAGCATTATGAAGTACCATCTGTGCACTATTGCAGCTGCTGTTTGAAGATGTTATTTTTTCCTTGAATTGCACTCAAATTTGTCTTGATTTGAGTGCAAGTATGATACCAGGATCTTGGACACAAATTGTTTTGATATAATGTTTAAAGGGATAATAACTCTTCGTTTCCGCCAAAAAATGAATTTTCCTGGAGTAAACAACAATTTTCCCATACTTACCAATGGTTAATGAATCCATTTTTACATTCATATTTAGTCCCTGTTTTTTTTCTAAAAAGTTTGGTTTTTTGTTAAAATCTCTTAAGAGATTTTAACAGAGTATAGCCATTAATGGAGGTCACGTAGTCTAAAGACAAGCTCAGATATCAGAATAATAGCTATAACTGCCGTTTTTGTAAAACAGAAAAATTATATTTCTATGAGTTATTCACAATGATTTTATTATGAAATATAGATCTCATACGAAGAGTTATTATCTCTTTAACAAAGATCATGTTGTTGTGAAGCTTTGAAATATTGGGGTAAACATAGCATCATGAGTGAAGCACATGCCCTAGAATATTTTTGAAACAAAGTATTGCTGTTTAAAAATCTCTGTTAAGTGCATAGTGATATGTAAACTAGTGAACTCTTTATTAATGCAATCTGGATGCACAATGACCATGATATACCTATATGTTGCATTGGGTTGAAAGCAAATGATATGTTGTGCCTTGTGGATGCCTTTTAACACCTGAATGGACAGCTTTTCAAAATAAATGTTGTTTATTTTTGTATATTATATATTGAAGCATAAAATGTCTTCCAGAGAAATTACAATCTGCTTGTTCTTTTCCTCTTAAAGACTATAAATTGCAATTTGGATTGTTATGAAAAACCATCTATAGGCATCTAATAAAGATGTATTCAGTTGGGATAAGGTTATTTTGTTATTGTTTGGGTGTGACAATGGTATTGACCACAATCTTAATTGATATGCAAGGTAAAACCACAAAAAAAACTTTTGCCTTTTGCATATTCTTTATTGGTAACTTTTCTGTTCTCCTCTCTCCTTTTCCCTTTCTCTACTCCTTGGTAATGATATATTCATATTAGTAATACTAATAGGCATAGACCGTATATATATAAATACTGTACCATTTGGTGTATTATTAATTGTAAAACCTAAAATTTTACTCAGTAGTGACAGTGGACCTTTAAGAGGCTGATATTTTACTATGTACTATGAAATATTGTTTAAACAATTTATAAAAGAGGTGTTAACGTTTTCTGACAGTTTTATATTTTATATATCTGTCCATTTGACAGTTTTACAGCTATGTTCTTAGATTTTTTTTTTCAAATTCACAACCTAGAGAGAGAGAGGGGGAAGAGAGAAAAGTTCAATACTACTTTATTGAAAAATTCAGAAAAGAGGGTGACCCGTTGGCGAGCACGCACCCTATACTTGGCGGTTGTACATGTATTATCCTCATGCATCCTTAGTATTAGATTAATGAAAGGCGGACAAAATGCCTTATATACTCGAGCAAGTGAAACATTAAATTCTCGAAGTTTCAGATTCGACTCAACATCGTTGATTCATTTCTAAATTGGTTGTCTTCAGTTATTATGGCAGAAGCGTCGGTGTTTGTAGGTCTACTTGCATATTATTCTGTTTCCATTACTCTGATTGTGTTTGCTGGTTTGTCTCTCAAAGGATCAGCTGCGGCAATCCGTGCTTTGAAATCGCTCATTGGCATGGCCGGCATTTTGGATGCAACGTCATTTATATTGCTGGTAAGTAGTTAAAATGGGGATATCCAATTTTGTCAGGAGGTTGGCGGTTTTACACACATAAGAATGGGTATCACACCAAACGACAAGCAAGCCTCTCGAAGATACACCTGTCAATTAAGCTCTCTTTTTGATTCGGCCGTTCGATCTTTTTTATCCCTGCTTCAGCATTTTACCCGTTTTGCCGCAGCGAATATAAATCGGGCAACTTCGTGCAAAGACATAATAAATGCACCCGACTTTTACTTGAAAATGTTTCTCTTCGCTGAATGTAATTGAATCATTTGTCTTAAAGGTAACTTTTTCTTTAATTTGGACAATATCTTAACATTTTAAATGACTTTATCTTATACCCATACGATTTTTTTTCATATGAGTGGAACAAGCAAGAACTCGGACGACATGTCTACAACGTTCTACAGTCAGCATAATTCGTCTGTAAAACCATAGCTCTCAACCTCTCAAAAAGACAGAAATACTTGTCTTCTTCAGTGACAAATAGATATGTTTTAAAATCCGTGTACTGAACATTAAAATATTATTTTTATCAACTACCGGGATATGTGTACGAACATTTTAGTAATATCAACAATATTTTTGCTAGAGTAACATGAAAATGATGATAATTTACTGTCAGTGGACAGTATCGTAGTTATATCTAAGCCTTCTTTGGGGTTGGTAGATTTTCACTAGGCGACATACAAAGCTAATTATGAACGATCAAACCCTAGTGATGGCGCATCCGAAAATGAATGGTGTAAAACTGCAAGTGGTAAATATGGAAAAGAAAACCGTGACAAAACCATTATTTTTCCTTCCTCCATTTCTTTTTATCAAAATAATCTTATCTTGACATTATATTTCATGAAATTGTAAAATATTTTTGAGATTCACTGAGAGTGTTTCATATGGCCTACGGTGTGGAACTTTGACGTTATTAACTTCAGGCAAAAATGCACATTGTTGCATTCTGCGACCAATGTGCCCTTTCTGCAACAAAGGCGAATTTGCTCAGCACGTGCATAGTAATTGGCCCAGGAGTCGTTCATGTATCATCATAGTTGGCCCGACACTACTTAGGCCTACGTGTACAGTATGTATTTTCAAAAATGAATTTTAATACTATATTTGACATTTCTGTAAAACGGTGAAGAATCTCAGCCAAAAATCAAATATATATGTTTTTAGAAAGAGTATAGCACCCTGTTGAAGCCATTCTGGCATATTCCTTAATTCAGTTCAATTATACAAAAGCCAGTACGCCTCATTAATCGCTATTTGTTCAGAAAAACATCATTATCGAAGCAGTCTAGCTCCCACCGTTTAAAAATTGCTATAGCAAAAACTAATGCAGTGGTTGTTTTGACAGTGTTACCCTTGAAATTAGTCACCCTCATTCGGCAGCATATGCTGAAGGCCTAGTTCTATACGTACAGAAAAAACTCTGCCTCTACCTTGTAGTACCCCGTGAGGTTTATTTAATTTTTAAAAATGCTATTGGGCGAAATACGACAAGAAAATAAAACATTTGTCATAGTGCTAATACGAATTAAATTATTTGGCATTTTGTTAACATTAAATTTTTGTCCATCGTTTTTCTCTGTAGGAAATGAGTTAACACTGCCTTTTGTCATATCCTACCCTAATTCTTCCCTATCCTGAAACTATAAATTTCTTGGAATTTCAAGAATCTGAGAATTAATATGTCGCTTATATTTCCTAACATTTTTGCTAATTAGAAATTTATCCAATAAAGACTCATAAAGTATATGTAACATTTAAAAGTAAATACCATTTGGCAGCCATCGAGGACATTAAGAAAATGAAGTTCGGATTGAAATCTGTCTTTATATAGTAACATTTCAATACATTGATTTCATGCAAAAAATTATTTATTTCAACCCTTTATTCTCATTCAACGATTCTTTTCTAAATGGGGTTTTCTTTGCATAAAAGGAAGCGAATAATTAGACTTTTTCCGTGATAATTAATATCGAATTAATCACAACAGTGAAATGTGCGTGCAAGAACTCTTTGGCTCACCAACGTCCAGTCTTCATTTCTTACTGCTTTGCAATGCAGGTCATGATTTGCCTTTCTGACCGGTAGTAATTAAGCTACATGTACATCTGTTTAGAAAATTTTTCTTTCATGCCGAAATATATGCAGTAACCTTGCAAATTGGTGCAGGTTTTATGAAAGATCGCTCATATGTTTTTTGAATTGAAATCCTCATTGATCATATCAAGTCCATATACCTGTCGTTTCCTCATGGGTTGTGACTTAGACCTAAATTCAGGCAGCAAAAAAATGATCAATGCAATGTTGGCCCGGATTACAAAATAAGGAGGATTGCAAAAACCCACCTGAAGTTTTTTTTTTTCTGAAAGAAGTTTGCCATCGATACTCGGAAAAAACGGGCAAGATGTATGAATCTGTTATCGATTTCAAACATTACATGCATTTACAGTTATATTCAATCTACGTGTATCCCAAAACAACTCCTTGTGACAATTGCTAATTCAATTTTGGTATCAAACGTGTGACCGACAAATAGAGTTTGATAAGTTTTATGTAGAAATAAAAGGTCTTAAAAGACGAAAACAACATTCTAGGGTATTTTTAAT